ATTTTTCCAAGATTGCAGGCCGGTTCTCTGTTCCTAACAGACCTTACTCCATGAATATTAATCCATAAATAGTTCACTTTGTTTTCTCTTGTTTTAAATGTTTTAAAGATATTGTCTACTTCTAGTTTATTTCTAGATTGTATTTTTAAGCAGAATTGCGCTTTTGTTTTACTACATTATATGTAGATCGATGCAAAACTTTAGTATAAATTACTTATACCACTAAATAATCTATTCACGAAGATTTGCATCATTATTAATAAATGTCAATGTTTATTTTTTTAATACGAAAATTTATTTACAACGTGTCCGTATTAAGTGTTTATGCAATTACATATAATCTTGGCAATTGCAGCAAAGATATAAATCTTTCCTGTCTTATAATTATAAATATCATCTATTAGTCCCTAATTTTCAGTTAAGAAATTTTATCACATTTATTTCAAAACGTGCACACATTTTTTTATTACTCCAAATTTCCATTTGAAGATTACGATCGATATCGCTAAAATTTATACAAATATCCTCGCTCGATCCTCTAATGGATATTATAACAGCTTATAGGTTAAGTATTCTACTGACTTATAGATGATATATCGGAAGCATATATCCAAATATATGTCGTTCCACGTTTATAGGATATCCTTTAGCTAGCGTATCGCGTGGAAGAGTATCATTGTCTATCGATGGATCAATGGGACATCGGCTCGATTTAATTACTCCGGCGTTGAGCACACGATCGATGTTCTCTTTGCATCAACGAGATATCCACGCGTTTCGAGAATTTCGCATGGTTGAGTCCATAATTCAGCTCAGTTGTCTCATTATCCACGCTTTGTGGCGCGGATTGCTTGCATTTTTCAGATCGTCCATTAATTTCAACGCTGTATCGCCGCATTTTAAAAAACGTCTCTCCCAAATTACTCGAAACCTTCCGAGATACTTTGTAAATAAACTGACCGTTAATTTCAATCCTATAATTGATTCGAACCTTAATAATTATTCGCATTCGGCGTTTCCACGCGAATTATCGACTAGAAGCGGATAATGACGTTCTAAACTCTCCCTTAAAATAACCAGTTACTTTTTGCTCGTCATTGTTTCAAATTTATGGCTTTACATATACGTGCACAGATGTATCGAAAGTTTGAGTTTCAAGCCTCGATAATTACATCCATAACCTATAGGTCTCGCCCTTAAACCAACCCCCGGCTGTAATTGTTCGTGGTATCTATACCACGTATGGAGGCCAATGACACGCGAAGAAGTAAGGATCTATATCAGGTATGCAGGGCAACGTATGAAGAAACGAGAATTTATACCAAGTGTAGGGGCTGTTATTGTAGGATTAAAGATCGTTCACGACCGAACGATCTTCAAACACGATCAGCATAGCTATTATTCGGAATATTCCCGTTAATATCGATTATGTACAAATAAATTATGAGATATTACATTGAACGCTATTATACTATTCTCAATCCCTTCTATGTATTCATAATTAGATTCAACGTTTTATTTTATTCGAATCTTTTACATTTTTACAAATTCTATCAAATTAGGAATAATTAAAATTTTATTATTTATTTATACGTTCTTTTTTTTTGATAAAGGAATTATTGAATAATAAAATTGAAATAAATTTCTCGATATTTTGTTTTATTCGTTATTATTTTTTTTTTTTAATTTTTGCAACATTCTGATTATTATTGATTATAAGATATATTCCTTTGTAAAAAGGAACCTTGAAAGATACTTTGAAAAGTATCTAAGTAAAGTACAAAGAAAATATACATATACCATTTTAATAATTTATGTTCCCCATTTGAGTGATTGCAACCTGTACTCTTTTAATAAGAAAAATTTGAATACACAGTATAAAATATTTAAAGATATTCCAACGGAAAGAGAATTTATTTTAGTTTAACTCTGTATACCTTGCAATATCTCCACTTACTTTCAGTTTAATTTATTTTACTATTACACCAAGACTGATTGAAGTGATTAAAAGATCGACATATTTATGGCATTCGGAAGTTATTTATCTCTAGGGTAATTAATGATCAACAAGGGTTAAATGTTCTAAAGTTAGATAGTGATAAATTTAATGCTATGTATACGCATACGTATGATCACCTGTATTTAGTATTATTTAATTTAGTATATTATAGTATATTTAATTTAAAGAATCAAAGATATAGTAAAGTTCTCGATATTCAAAGATTCTAGATACATGTATAAAATCTATCTATTCATTTCTCTGATTTCAATACAAACGTATCATCCTCGTCTTAGAATTTGGAAAATTAACTATTAAAAAATATACGATTCTTATACAAAGTATCACTTTCGAGATGAGACTATATTTTTTATTATCATTTCGAGACAATTTTGATAAAAACACGTAAAAAAAAAGAGATACAAAAGTCTTAAGAAAATTAGAAAATTGTCGATAACAATAACCGAATGTATCGCTTATAAATCAAATAAGTTTGAAATAAAATTTAGATCACTGGAAGGATAAAAATAAGTGTATATCGTAAGTTTGGACGGAGAGGCCGCGATTATTTCGAGCAGAAAAATTGGAGCGTAAGATCGATGATCACCGAGCAAACGAAAACATTATTCGATACTTAAAAACTTCCCTCGAATCTGAGAGAATGACTTTTCAGAAACAGACACGGCCCCCTCCTCCCTACTTCTAACTTTCGAAGATGCAACAATTCCAATTCAGAAGGATCAATCTCCGGTAGGGAACATTCGTGCCGGAAGTCGAGGAACTGTAATATCGTTATAGACTCTCTCTCTCTCTCCCTCCGTTATGAAGCGAGAGAAGTCGAAAAAAGGTGAAAAGGAAAAATAGAAATAAAAAAAGAAAAGAAAAAAAAGGAGAAAAAGAATGGAAAAAGGGAGAAGAGAAAGCCTCGTTATCTCGATGTTGCTCGCGAAAATGCTTTAAGCTACACGATCCTTCAACCGTGTAACGTCGCTTTTACGTTTCAATCGTGCTCGATAAATTCGCTGAGGAGGAGGGATCCGTGTTCGACACGCGAGCCAGCCATTTTCGCGAAAACGACGGAGCAACGACGGTCCAAACATATTTCTCCTTAATTTTCCTTCGTTTTCCACTCCTTTGAGTGTCTCCGCTCTTTGTCCAATCCCCTCTCCATCCTACCTCGTTATCAGTGGCCGAGGTATACAAACCAGGCGACCAAAGTCTTTTCCCTCTGATCAAAGAAACGAGGTGTAGAATGCAAGAGGTCGCGTTACATCGAGTATTAAGGGAAACAAGCCCCGCGAAACGCGAAGTCCTTTGAACCTCGAAATGAGAGCACGACCCTGTCTCTCTCTCTCTTTCTCTCTCTCTTCCTTCTTGGTCGTGATAAAGTCTGAAGAAGAAAGAAAGAAGTAGGTGGGTACAGTTTACGCCTTGATTAACGCCCTGTGATCAAAGCGTGATCAACAGCGGGTAAAGAAGAAGAAGAGGAAGAAATCAGAAAGAAAAGTGGACCAAGCGATGGGACTTTACTTGCCTCGACCGAGAGCTCTCGCTCTCTTTCTCTCTCTCTCTCTCTCTCTCTCTCTCTCTCTCTCTCGTCTTTTATACATGTATTTACACGGGAAGAAACGAGAGGAACCATTTCTCTGGTATCGAAGACGGAAACAGGCGATGGAGCGGGTTCGTGGAACGTGTACAGCAGAGCTGCACGGTCGAGGGAACGAATTTTGGGGCGGTTTTGATGGAGTAGGTTGGAGTGCTCGCTACGCTGCTCGAGCGTTGGTAATTTTTTGTTAAAGCTACTGGCTTACTGGATATTCAGGAAATATGTTCATTTTAGAATAAATACATATATCGGTCGTGTTGGATATTGTACACCGTATAAGAGGAAAAGTTGTTCGTTTCTGAAGAGGTGGTCGCGATAGTTTCGGGTCGAATAGTGAGGCGATATTTTTCTGCAAGAAAATATACTCTCTTTTGAAGATATTTTAAATTGGTTATAAATTTTGAACACGTGTCTTCTTCTCTTATTCTTCGCGTGGAAGGAGCGTATGCAAGTCACATACTTTATACTTTTTTTAGTTGAAAAATCATTAATTATATCAATAATAATAATCAGAGTTCGTCAAAGATTGTCCTCGACCGACGAGCTCTCCTCTCTTCTTCTCTCTCTCTCTCTCTCTCTCTCTCTCTCTCTCTCGTCTTTATACATGTATTTACACGGGAAGAAACGAGAGGAACCATTTCTCTGGTATCGAAGACGGAAACAGGCGATGGAGCGGGTTCGTGGAACGTGTACAGCAGAGCTGCACGGTCGAGGGAACGAATTTTGGGGCGGTTTTGATGGAGTAGGTTGGAGTGCTCGCTACGCTGCTCGAGCGTTGGTAATTTTTTGTTAAAGCTACTGGCTTACTGGATATTCAGGAAATATGTTCATTTTAGAATAAATACATATATCGGTCGTGTTGGATATTGTACACCGTATAAGAGGAAAAGTTGTTCGTTTCTGAAGAGGTGGTCGCGATAGTTTCGGGTCGAATAGTGAGGCGATATTTTTCTGCAAGAAAATATACTCTCTTTTGAAGATATTTTAAATTGGTTATAAATTTTGAACACGTGTCTTCTTCTCTTATTCTTCGCGTGGAAGGAGCGTATGCAAGTCACATACTTTATACTTTTTTTAGTTGAAAAATCATTAATTATATCAATAATAATAATCAGAGTTCGTCAAAGATCTGGCTTTAGTTGATTGTTATAATAATTTAATTTCTTTTTAATATTGACTTTGTTTCAATCTGAATCTCTTACAACACGGTCTTTTTTAAAATTGTAGTATTTAAATTTAACGATGTAAATGTAACTTGGTTACTGGTTACATCCATGACAACTATCGATATCCAACTGTATTAAAATTAACTGAAAATTATATATTAAATAAGCTGTTATATTCACGAAGTTATAAATAATTTTATCGTTATACTATACATATGATAAAAAGTAAACATAAACATACCGAAAAGCATTTTCACTGAGATAATTGGAGGTTATCTCAAAGCAAACGTCAGTCATGAGTCGATTTGTTTGCAAACTAATTTATAAAATTCATAGTGAACTTCATTAGTTCACATATTGAATATATAAAAAATGATTGCTGTCGGATACGTGTTAACCATGACTATGAAAGTATTAATAGTACAATTTTGTACATATATATTACAATGTATTGAACTGCAAAATTGTAGCACTGTAATATTATAAATAAGATGCATTCCGTTATTAGGTAAGTAAAATATGACCCGCAATATATCGAAAGGTTTGAAATAGATGTAATATTACGAATCGCGCAATTATTGATTTTCTAAAATTTATAAAAAAGAAAATAACATTTTTTGCCAACCTCCAAAATAATAAAGGGATAATTTCAGGCTCGATTAATTAAAATGGAACGTATCGAACTGAAATGAAATTTTACAAGTCAATAGACTCCGAACGATTGCATCAAATTTTGTGAAATCGTCCATTCCATATGCGAAAATTTGCTATTTAAATTCGGCGAGCAACTTGGGTAAAGATAACAGTAAGAAAGTACGCAAGGAGATCGATTAAAATGGACCATCCTGTACAACTGTCGCAATGCGTAGAAAAGATGTACATACATTATAGAATGTCCCGTGGAACACGCGATAAAATCTAAAATTGCGAAGAGAAAGAAAGAGATCAGGTATTAGATTAATCGTGGACAAAGGAGGGGGTGAAAATTTGCCCTGAAAAATGTCTTGGATTTCAGCGGAAATCGACTTGGAACAATACAGGGGAGCGCGAGAGAAGGATAGAGAGGGAGGCCGCGGCTCGCCATGTTCCGTCAACCCTTAGATTTAGTGACTGTAAGTGCTGATGTAGAAGTGTCACCCTCTCTAGCTCTCTCAATGGCTTACCCGACGTATCCCCCTAAAAAATGACCCAGAGAGCGGCGACCGATGAGATTTAAAAGCTACAAAAACCCTAGGTGGTTCAGCTCCGCCCACGCGAAATTTATTTTGACTCTTTACTGCTCACACTCCACGTAACACATGTACTGCAACGGCAATTCAAGGGGATTTCTTTAATAAAAAAGCAATCTCTACCATGCACGCTGGAATTTTTTCCCTTTATTAAACGCTCTCTCCTCCCGTGTTATCAATTTACATGCCCCACCCTCCACCTCCATCCTCTTGACTGCAATGAAAAACAGTGGTAAGATAAATAACTGTAGATTACGGTAACGCAACGGTAACGTCGTTACTAAAAGCTCGGGAAGAAGCCAGGAGGAATTCGATGTTCCACTCCTGTGTTCTTTCATTACACGGGATAGAAGTTCTCCCGGGTACCCATTATACCGTTGTAAGGGAATCTTTTCACCGACGGGACATAGTATCGATTTCCCAGATACGAACAATCAGTATAATTGCATTTGGGGTTACTTCTAGACTCCTGACTGGGACCCACTGGCAAACATTAAGCATCGTACGGATTGCTCACTTGACCCATGCGGACTCCCTTTGAGACTCGTTCAAGATTCAGCTATGATTTGTGAATTATTGTTTATTTATTTAGTCTTGCGTAGATTAAATTAGTGAGGATTTATTTGAAATTTCGATTTTTTTTTTAAAGGATATGATGAAACGAGATTGATTTAATAATAACACGAAATTTCGAAATTTCTCTTGTTATTAGTAGATAGAAGTATCATCGTCTCGACGATATTTTAGGTAATACTACTGCTTCGAGTTAAGTTACTCGAATTCAAGTGGTTTCCTTCTCGTGCAAGAGGAATTTCAACTGCTTGAATTCATATATAACTTGACTAAACAAGGGTTGTGAATATCTTTATCATTTTGCATAGTAATTTAATAATTAATAATAATTTAATTCAGCGAATTGAGTTTGATTAATGAAGCGACAAGGTACAAGTTTGGTTTATAAAATAACGTAATTTTACGTTAAATTAATCGTGATTACGTATAATTCCATTTTCATCGTGATGAAACTTGTAACTTGTAAAATTTCACGGAAAATATTCAATTTTGTAAGAGGAAATTTGAAAAAGGAATATTTAAAATAACATGGAAGAAAATGATGTTTGACTAGAATGAATTATTAAAACATTTTAAAAATGAAGAAGCAATATATAAAATTAATATACAAAATTGAAAAAGAAAGTGGATCATTTCGTATTTAATCGTATTACTCGAAAGATACGGAATTATTAAATTGTCACGCGAAGATATCAAAGAATGATTTAAAAAAAAACGATCTCGCATTGATTTAAAAAGGTGTTAAACGAAATAACAGATTCAAATATTCGATATATATTTCAATCCAAGCATTTCGAAGCCAGCTGTCTTGCTCGATAAAAACGATAATAAAAAAGGATATTTCAACCGAGATTCACACCATTAGAAGAGTCACTTCAATTCAAGTAACTCCTTTAATTCCAACGTACCTTCTCGCGTCTCTCCAACAATTTATTACAGTCAAACAACGATGGATACTTTGTCAACCAATTTCCATCTCTCGGCATACATACTTATAGGCTATAGAACGATCCTCGTGTAACGGCACCGTGAGAAGAGAGAGAGGACAGGATCAAGAGTTTCCGAGTAACTGCGAAAGGGAATAGAGCCACTTCACCGTGAGATGTTAACCGAGACTCGAACCGGATCCGCGTAGGAATCCCAAGGATCCGCAAACATCGAATACGCGGTTTCGTGTATCGCCCTCGAGAGTCGGTCATTGATCAGCGTCACGGGGGGGTAAATCTTGATTTTAGATGCGTCACGGTACGCATGGCCAACGGGAGAGGAGAGAGAGAGAGAACGGTTCGATACAGTTCTCGGTCATTAAAGTGCCATTAGCCCGGGCTACTTGTCCATCACGGAAATTAATGTTATAAATCCACCACTTTGAAAACGATGCCAGCCAATGCCTTTTTCTCTCTTTCCCTTTTCCCCCCTTCTCTCTCTTCTTTCCCCAACACCCGCTGTTTCTGTCATTGCGATATCGCGCTCGGCCATCTCTCCGGTTTCCAGGTTCATTGTGGAGCACCGGAAGTTTCTTGCGGGGTTTTCGAGTGGCCATAATTAAGCTGCGAAGCTCGAGGACGAATTCCGTTCTCTATCTTTGGTTTTCTATAAAATAAATTCCATGCAATTATGGTGTTATAATTAGTTCTGCAGCGAGATCTGTTTTAGGTTGAGTGGGTTTGCGTACTGTGTTGATGTGCTCGCGTCGAAACGAAGGGGAAATGTTTGAGAATCGTCGTGGATCGAAGGAAAATATCGATCATCGTCGTGTATCGACATTTAAACGAATTAGGGCACTAAGAACGGTTTACTTATGTATCGACGATTGCTGACGTAGAGACTAGAAAAACTAGGGAAAGGTTGATAATTGAAAATTAATCCTTTCAATTGTTGTTTCTTTTCAAGGAATTTTTTTTAATAAAATATTCGCGAAACACTCTAATACGTAATTGTTAAAAAAATATATTGTTAGATCGGTGTTAAGATGTGATGAAAATTGGATAAAGGTTTAGGATTCTTGTTTAGGATTCTTTAATTATTATACTACCAAACCTGCATTTATTTAATTCAATTTTTCTTCATTTCATTACTGTAATTTCAATGATTTATATAACAAACGACATCGTGCTCTTCTCGTTTCTTTTCTTCCATTTCTTGGAATAAAAATTTTTCTAACTTTCTGTTCTATTTTTATCGTTACATACGAATTTTTCTTTGGATTATATTTCTCTTGTTTAAATATTTCTTTTCTTTCGCAGTTTCTTTCAATTTTTTTTTTTTTTTTTTTACTATTTCCTATTATATATGTTTTAAATATTTTTTCCATGATTTTATTTGGATCTGGTTTTCAGCTGCAATGAATAAAACTAACCAGGCCATTACGAACTCCTTCACTTTCACTTCTTATTACTTTTCTCCGTTTTCTCCGAATTTTCTCGCGCATTTAGCTTTCCTCTCTCACGTTTGCTTTTTTTCATTCTATTTCTTTTCTTTCTCCCCTTTTAATTTTTTAAGGACCTGATGCTTTGTTCTGGCTTTCAGTTAGTCAATCTTCACAATTTATTTCGTAAAGAGGTCTGTTACGCCAAGTTTGCACACACATTGTTATTTATTATATTAAATACATTTTAAAGAAAAGATTATAGGATTAAATTTTCAAATTATCTACTGATTATTTATTCTATTTTATTTTAATATTCATATATAATATATCTTTCCCTCCATTCTAAATGATGCATCGATTATAAATACATTTTATCTCAAACTTTTTCGATAGACTTAAAAAAATTCAAGATTATTTACTGATATTTGCTATTTATTTCAATATCCAATATAAGTTTTCAAACCAAATTCCTACATATTTCTTTTAATAATTTAATATATTCAAAAATGAATTTTCCATTCTCTCTAAATTATCCCATACAGATATAAAGTTGAAACAAAAATATTAAAATAGAAAAAAAAGTATTCAATCTCTTATTTACATGCAAAACATTATCAAGAATTATAACAGTAGACAGAAGTGAAACAATTATCATCGTTGTTCAATATATATCAAGTGAAATATCAATTCCAAAAAAGTATCACGTCCAAGCATAATTACGCGCCTATTTCAAACTTCATTCGTATTTATCCCCAGTATCCAATATCGACCACTTCACCCCTTCATTCAACGACACACAAAACCTTTTCAACATCTGGTTATATAGCCTGAAAAACGAAAGGAACGCACAACGCGGAACACGAAACAGCGATACTCGTATAACATCTACTGTCGCAGAATCACAATTCCTTCTCATAAATTCTGCCTCCACACACACACGCGCACGACAGAGTGTCCGCATCGTCATCGTATCTACCGTACGGTACATAACGTTTTCCCATTCTTCGAATCGGATCCGCAATAGGAAACATTCCCATCTAGATTTCGAAGGTAACGCTTGCGAATTCCTGTTCCTCGTCCTGTTCTCGAAGAACGTGTCGGCACGCGCCACGATGGCCACCATCTTGGAAAAATAAGCCTAACAACAGTCCAAGGCTGCACGTTGCCTAACGCGAAATCGATATCGGTGGAAACACGGCCACGCGGCTCCTCCTCGGACACTTTTTATCGCCCGGTTGCTCCGATTTGTCTGCACCCTCCCCTCGATAACGAGGATGTAAGCGGTGGGACCGTACCCTTCACCGTCATTCGTTGAAAAATCCACCAGCGGAGAGAGGATCGTCCGTCGTCCATCTCCGGTTTTTCCTTATCGTATCCGACATCGCTTACAAGAGGATCAAGGATCATCTTGGAATGGTCGAACATCGGATGTCTTGGTTTTTTTTTTTTTTTGAACGATCCGTGAAGAATCGAGGATTTTCGGGGAAAGAGTAGATTTATTTTTTACATCTATAAATATTGTATTAAAAGATATATTTGAATGTACAAGATAATATATTTGTAGGGTATTTTTGAAGAGTCGATTTTAGAGATTACAAAACAAATGTAAAAAGATGATGTACGAAAGATTTATTTATTAAATTATGGATAATTTGAAGGGAGGAAGGGGAAAAGAGATTAAGGTTAATAGATAATTTTAAAAGTGTTATAAATGAATCAGTACTCTTATTTCTACAAGATCCTCAATTAAGATTGCAGAAACATGTTGAGAAATTGGATGAATGAAGATGTGAAAGTTTGAAAAGATTTTGATATTTGAAGATAGAAAGAATTAAAAGAAGTTAGTTTAAATTAGTTGAAGATAAAATTTGAAGAATCGAATGAATGAAAGTTTGAGAAGGTAATGATAAAAGTAGATTTATCTCTGAAGAATTGGAAACGTTTAGTAAAATTTAAAAATGGAAAAATGTTAAAGGATAGAAATATTAAAGAGATGAGGAATATTCAATTTTAATCAATCGTAAAGAAAATTTAGAGATATTTGAATAAATAAAAATGTAGAAGACTGGATATTTTTAAACTGAAATTTAAAAATGAATAAAACTCTTAAAACGAGAGAATTAGAATCTCAATAATTGCAGACAAATAATTGCAGGATATATTAATAGAAAATGATAAATTCA